GCCAAAAATAACTGCATCTTTGCTGCTGCAGAGGCAAAACCAAACAAGTAAAAGCAATTTTTCTTTCAGCCTTTGACCTAAAGTATACCTAATTACCTCCTATCCAGCCATTAATTTTCTGAATTGGAGTTTCATATCTTAAAACCTCTCTAGTATCCCATTTTAATCACATTTGAGAACAGCCTCAGAAATATTTGTGAAAGAGCAAAGACACAGGTGAATACAGATACTAGGTAGAGTGATCACACACAAGCCTGATTCCTAGGGAATCTCCCTTTACGGAAGAAAGGAAGAAAACTTAAACTGCCCAATTTTACAGCTTGCTGAGGAATACTCAAACGGTCAAAAAAATTCCCATTTGCCTAACATCAGGACAGCTGGTTTCGCAAATAACTTGCTCTAAGAGAAAAGTCTAGAAAAGCACAGGGTTCAGCTAAAATTTGAAATAAAAGTCTTTGCCAAGGAAAGTGATGGGTAAGTCGAAACACATGAGGTAGCTCCTTCACCATGAAGAATGTGACAGGTAAAAGAACAGAGGCGAGATGAATCCTAGCACATGCATATGAAAAGCAACATACAAAAGACTAGCTTTAAAAACAAAGAAACAAATGAGAGTGAGATTATCCAATATAGGGAGAAGAAAGTACTTTGAGTATGGGACTTCTTTATATAAATTAGGAAATTATCATAAAACACTTGCATGATTTTCTCAAAGTCAGCTCCAGCCAAAATGATGATTTTGCTGCTGCTTTCTTTCCCTCCTCCCACCCACAAAAACCTCATTGCCTTTCCTCTCTCCCAAAGCAAAGGTCAAACCTGCCACCCTCAACAAAACACTTCTTGTCTTACTTTCCATGAAACAGGCTATCACCACAGGAGGTGTCACTTACCGAGAGCAGCCGTGGCACAAAGAATGCTTCGTTTGTACTGCGTGCAAGAAGCAGTTGTCTGGACAACGCTTTACCTCCAGGGATGAGTTTGCATATTGCCTGAGCTGCTTCTGCAACCTCTATGCCAAAAAGTGTGCTGGATGCACAAACCCAATCAGTGGTAGGTCCCCCATGGCCAGTGCCTTTAAACTTTGCTTGCTTGTTTGTTTTCTCCCAGTGAACTGCTTCTAATGTTAAAAACAGTTCAGTAGTTCATTGTGAGTAACTTGGGAAACTCAAGACACTGTACAATTCACATACAATACAATGTGTGAAATTAAATACTTAAGATGCCTTTCAAATGCCTAACAAAAAGAAATAGAAGAGGTCCTTAAACTGAAGTTTCCCACTTACCACCCAATTTTCATGGAACATGGTGGACCCACAGCAACACAGCTGTTCACGCAGTGGGATACGCATGTTCTGCACATCATTCCACTTGAGTTCATGAAAGGGATCACTGATCTCAGCAACAACAGTCCCTTTGCCAGCAGAAAGTGTCCAACTGGCTTATATCTCATGCTGTATTTCTAGAGGATTTCTATCCTGACTTTTCAGGACAGCAACTGAGACATCACAAGACTTTTAGATACTGCTTTCCAGTATAAAAGTACTTAAAGGAGCAACTGCTTAGAGCTTTACTGCAAAGCACCTGGCATAAAAATATAACCTCATGTAAGAAGTAATCAGCATTTAACAGTATGATGCATACAGGCCAAGACTGCAAATCTGACTTATATGTGGACCATTTTCTCCTCACATTACTCTGCCCTTGTGCCTGTCCCTCAGCAACATGTTTCATTGCACAGCTCCTAGAAAAGTCAGTGTGTAACACCACAGGTACTGTTTTCTGTTTGTGTGAAAAGAGGCATTTCCCTCTTGAGTACTGCATTTCTATCACATGCTGTTTCTTTCAAAAAGTTGCTACTAAAGGCAAAACAAAACCAAACCCCCTCTCATCAGGTAAGAGATATGCTCAACTAAGTCTTTCCACTGACTTCCAGCTAGTCCTTCGAAAGCATCATATTAAAATTGTTTGCCCTTTCTGAGGTTAAGCAAAAGATAATTACTAAGAGACATTTATCCCTTTTTTTTTCCTGTACAGTTTCAATACCCCTCATGATAACCTCCACAGCCTCACACTCTTCAGTGCTTTTTGCAGTTTGCTATCCTGCTTCTCTCCTTGAGGCACTCTTCTCTCAAAGCTGTGGCTCAAGTCATGACACAGCCTGTGAAGACTTTATGATCTAAGCACATATTTAGAAAACACAATTAACTGAAGACACCATAAAACATTCAGAAAAAAACTATCAGACTTCTGTTCAGGGGCAGTCGCTTTCCTTTTCTGCTGTATATCACAGTGCCATACCTTGAAAATTATACCTGGTACAGAATAAGGCTAGCAAAACAGGCACAGCAACAAACAGATTAGTCACAATGGCATTTTTTCACTGCTCTATGTCTCCCCTTTGATACCTGAGTGTTGTCTGAAACAACACCACTTGATGGCTGATGTGCTATTCTTTTCTTGTAACAGAATGCTTTTGGTTTTCAAACAGGACTTGGAGGAACCAAGTACATCTCCTTTGAAGAACGGCAGTGGCATAATGACTGCTTTAACTGTAAGAAGTGCTCTCTCTCATTAGTGGGTCGAGGCTTCCTCACAGAAAGGGATGACATCCTTTGCCCTGAGTGTGGGAAGGATATTTAAAGATCAAAACAAGAGGTGAGGAGAGGGGAGGAAAGCCATGCTTGCAATATATAGTCTGAAATACACAGATGTTCAGAACTAGCTTTGCCACTCTGACTTTCGCTGTACTATTAACATTACTTAAACTTTTTCTCCAAACTCTCCGAATCTGGAGGGAAAACAACTTCAAAATCCCTAGTAGCAGTGGTGGTGTTCAAGATTGCTACAGCTAACCAAAACTAATGCAAAACCCAAGACGTAACATCATTTGGGGGTTACTGACTTAACATACTCTTTTTGGTTTTGCACTCCATATTCTGGTTACAAGCAAGTGATGTAGTTCAAGGATTACAATGGCCACATACAATACATTCATAGATGGATATTCAGGGTGAAACCCTCAGCCCACTGAAATCAATGGCAAACCCCATTCAATTTCAGTAAGGATGTGGTCTCGCCTCAGTGTTCTCAAGCTATGTGACTAGTGTGCGCTGTCAAGTGTGTAGAAAGACCGTGAATGTAGAGGGTGTTCAATGTACAAGGATGTGTGCCATGCAATGAAGAGATATAATGATAAAACAGTTGAAGTGGGAGTGCTTTGTAACAGGTACATATTTTATTGCATGACTAGCTGATCATTGTGTGAAGTACAAGTTCTGATTGACAGTGTCAGTATTACAGTTAGTCGACATTACACTGCACATTGTATTTTTCAAAATAAAATCATTTAAAACAAAATAGTGATTGTGGTTTAATTGCATTTACATATTAGATATTTACAAATGAAATGCTTTCATAGTCTGAAGGAACATTATGCAAGAGCCACACAAACACAACTTTTTTTGCACTTCGTCATTACGAACCTGTGGGGTTTAGGCAATCCTCAGATGGACCCTGCTGATACAACATAGTCTGCTACTAACTGAAATTAGTGTGAAATTATCGGCAAAACTAAACAACTGTGTGAAAATACTGAATGGAATGCAGCTGATAAAAATGTGCTAGTAGGCTCTAAACTAAAAAACAAAATACTGTTTTTCTCAGCAAGAAAGGTCAAGACAGCTCAGAAGACATTCATCTTTGCAAAAGTCAGAAGTTTAACTTCTATGCTAGGGCATGCTTTCATTTTGTTATGTATTGCAATATGTAAATACCATTTGCTCTAGCATCATTTCTGCTACATGTCTGCTGCAAAGGCAAAGTTCAGCCACAGAATGCTAGCAGGTCAATAAAATCAAGAGGAAATAATCCAAAGGAAGATTAACACTTCCCAAAACAAACCTCAAGAAATCCGGCCATGTTACACAAATGTATGATCCTGGCACACCTTCTGGATGGAATTCATTTGCATCCAGCAAAAGGAGGAAAGTAATATGTCACACTTCCAATTGGAATCTTCAGATGTGGAAAGAAGGATTAGGCATATACTTTGTGTGTAACTAGGTAGGAAAAGTTTGCTCCTAGTTCCTGTCACCACTCTTGAATTTGCCTCTTTTTGTACCAAGTGTAGTGCGCTCACAGGTCATTCCTCTCTCATTAATTCAACAAATACATGCGTCAGGTAAGATTTGGTTAGGAAACCATTTGAAGAACTTTGCTGGCTGACATTTTTGAAGTGCACACTGTGTAAATCAGATCTCATTGAATTACTAAATTCTGTTGTTTGATTACTTTATTCTATGATGAAGGCTGTGGTAAAGAATGGCCATGAAAATCCCTCTTACAGAGGAGGGCAAGCAGCTCAGTTTCTCCTCTGGAAGCTGGCAATCCCCCAACACACTGCAGCTCTGATACTTTACTGAGAAAAGAAAGATTACTAAGGGGATAGTGGAAGGGAGCAAAAGCAGTATGGCTTGTATCTTGCCCTCCAATAACTACAATAGATGGCAAAATGGTCCCAGCTTTGAGGAAAGTGAGGTGAAACACGACAAGCCTGAAAAGCAAACTAGCCTGAAAACAAGACATCATGCTATTATTCCAGTACAGTTCTGCATACTCCTTAACACGCAACAACACACATGATCGTACAACTGGAACTACAACAAAATATAGACTAAACTCTAAACTACTGCCAAGAAGCCACACAGAAAACAGAACTCCTACCAGGCTACTACACTAGTGCAAGGACCAGCACTTCACACAACACTAACTGCTGCTAAACTCCAGAGCTGCTACAGTCTTTTACCCTGTAAGCTCTTTCTTAATTTCTAATCACTTCAAAGTCCACTGAAATGTGTGTAAAATGAACAACCTTAATTACATCACAAAAACAAGTCTTTTACCCTGTAAGCTCTTTCTTAAGTTCTAATCACTTCAAAGTCTACTGAAATGTGTGTAAAATGAACAACTTTAATTACATCACAAAAACAAGTCAGCACTACTTTGTTTGCTTTTAACTGAATTTATTTAAATAGGATAAGGTTACTTAAAAGACAACTCTTTACATACAAAATGTACATTACGTTAAAGTTTGCTATACTCAAGTACAAAACCTGGACAAGAGTTTAGTAAAAGGAAAACAGCACACTATTTCAAAACACACATTCTTACCATTTTACAGCATTCGAGAAGTGCCTTTTATGTTGTAACAGTGAATGGAGAACTTCTGTCAGTAATGAATTAAGCTACAGGTTTTGGTTTCAACATTAACCAATATTACAAATGTAAACATCTTTCAGATCACTACTGAGAGCTTCTCTTAGTGGGTTAACTAAGCAGATTCAGAAGTTGATTCTTTTTCTGTTTTACTAAGTCCAGGAGTGTTGCTGTTATTATTTACCATACATATCTAAAATGGATCTAAATTGGCTTCACCCTGTGCCACTGAGTTTTAGTAATAATATTTCTATGAACTTAACGGGATTTCTGCCTTATAAGGCACTACCAACAATGCAGATGAAACACCAAGTTTCACAGAAAACCAACACCCATCTTAAATGATCAAAAGAAGGGAAAAGAGGTTACCAATTTTTATTTATTTATTTTTTAAGAATGCACCTACATACGCTAACACTCTCAAAGTATTACTTTGTCTTCCTACTCCTGTCCCTTTCCAATTAAGTTGAGAAAGCACTGGCCTGCATTCCACATGTTTTCCCCACATTTTATAAGCATGACTGTAATCAGGAGAACAGCAAATTTGCTACATCGACACATTTTTGCACTTAAGCATGTATAAAATATGCCTGTGTATTCAAGAGAAAATGGCACTAATCCATTCACTACTTCCTCTCAAAGATCCATATCAAACAGCCTAGTAGCATACTCCCATCCGTGTATGTCTTATTTCATATGTCAATAAGAGAAACTTCAATTTGAAGTAATGCTGTTAAAATAGTTCATCTCTTATTACCAATCTAACTTGCACTGTAAATTCTACACTCCTGTCCAACATAAAGGAAAACATTTTGTCTCCGATTATCTTACCAGCAGAATGGTCAGTTTTCTCATCTAAATGAGTTATCTTTTTACTGTCAAGAAGGCTCTTGGGATGATTCTGAATTTCAATAGCTATTTTAACTATTTGACCATAAGTGGAACAAAACTGAATCTTACTGAAACAAAAATAATGTATTTCTAGGTGTGAATTGGAATGACATGCCAGAGATGAACTATAACAATCTTCAAAACCAAAAAAAAAAAAAAAAGGGGGGGGGGGCTGGTAGTAGAACATTGTAATATTACCACCTTTTAAAGAAATACTGAGCTACTTGCTGTACATAAGTAGACACTTTTAAGGTGACTGGTGATAATGACCCCAGCGTTACAACAGGGAACTTTTAAAGTCATTAAAACTTCACAGCAATCTGAATCCCTGTAAGGTTTAAAAAGAATTGTACTTCAACTGTTTAAATACAACTTATCTGTTTGAAAATATGGAAGTAATACTTATATTTCAAGCACCATTAGCTACTTCATGGCCATGTAACATGCTGGATTTTCTTCTTTGCTTCCGTAGGCTTTAGGTCACTCTGGAATATAAGAAAATATATAAGTATTCTTAGATATACTGTGCAAGTAGAAGTTAGAAATTAACCTGCTGTATTCAAATTTTACACTGACTACGGCTGGAGGCATCTCTATGCTACAACAACAGCTTTCTACTGCCATCTTGTGGAGAACGCTAAATATCACACAACTTCTTTAAAGAAAAATAAAGCACATCAATTCAATTATCTGCAAATCACATACATCATTTGTTTTTTCTTAATCCCACAATTAGTTATCCAAAAGTATCTTTCAATTATGCATCTTAAAGACAGTCACATATTGGAGTTTCTAAACATACTTCTATGTTTACATCAGATTGCCTTCTTAAAATACTTGTTGAAATGGGATGGTCTAAGAAAAAAAAAACAACACATACACAACTAGGAAACCCAATTTACTTCTGCCAAATAGTAAAAACGTTAGAAAAAGGGGAAGTTGCTTTTCCTTTGTAATAATCAGTATAAAAAGTGAAATAATTGCCAAAGTCTCAGATCAACTCATCTTTCAAGACCCACCCCAAGAAACCAGAAAAAAAAAAAAATAAAGCAAGCAAGCCCAAAGTAAAACAATGGGAGACTGAAGTGGTGAAATAATTAGCTTTCACCATATAACATAAGAAAAAAAATCCTGAGAAATTACAGCTTTAACAGTTCACACAAGCAGAGTAAAGAGAGGTATATGAGTTCTCAAGAACATTCTACTCCTCTACTCTGCTCTTGTGAGACCTCACCTGGAGTACTGTGTGCAGTTCTGGTGTCAACATAAAAAGGACATGAAGCTGTTGCAGCAAGTCCAGAGGAGGGCCATGAGGATGATCAGGGGACTGGAGCACCTCCCATATGAAGACAAGCTAAGAAAGCTGGGGCTGTTCAGCTGGAAAAGAGAAGGCTAGGTGGAGACCTCATAGCAGCCTTCCAGTATCTGAAGGGGGCCTATAAGGATGCTGGAGAGGGACTCTTCATCAGGGACTGTAGTGATAAGACAAAAGGTAATGGGTTCAAACTTAAACAGGAGAAGTTTAGGTTAGATATAAGGAAGAAGTTCTTTACTGTGAAGGTGGTGAGGCACTGGAACGGGTTGCCCAAAAAAGCAGTGAATGTCACATCCCTGGCAGTGTTCAAGGCTAGGCTGCATAGAGCCTTGGGTGACATGGTCTAGACATGGCAAGGGGGCTGGAACTAGATGATCTTAAGGTCCCTTCCAATCCTAACATCTATGATTCTGCAGAGGAGTGGTTTGGGGAACACAATCAAGAGATCTCTCTTCTCTGTAAGAGTTTCAATGTTTATTTACAGCAATGTTGTAGACTGCAACCACTGAAAGGTTTAAGGGAATTAGACCTTAAGGAGAGACAGTTCTGTGCTAGTCAGTACAAGAACTTCAGTTTATCTTGACAGTCAAAGAACAGTCACTTGCTTGAAAAGGCAATTGTCCTTACGGTCATATTAAAAAATATATCAGGCTTTACACTTTTCAGCCAAGTACATTGACTCTTCCTGGCTCCATGACTTATTACTCAGTATTATGTTAATTTCAGACAGTAAAGTAATATCCATACAATACACTTGCCTAACTTCAAACATATCTAACCAACACTAACCAAAGAACTTACCGGTATTAACCTGAACAACAAAAACTGTGGATAAGGTAGAAAGTAAAGTGTCAGAGATCATAGCTTTTAAGTGTCAGATGTATAATCACTTAAAAGTGCTCATCACTGTGTCTACAAAACATTTAAATGCAATGTAAAGCAGCTGGGAGGTGCATACTAAAGAAGTTTCAAAAGCTCTATGGGCTCAGAGTCCTAAGTATTAAAATAAGCTAGTGATACTGGTAAGTAGGAAACACACCTCTTCAGCATAAATCTGCCACAGGGCCGCAGCCATGATCCTTGTAAAAGTTCTTCAGAACAGCCATATGTTTAGGTGCTCATGTTTAACAGAAGTCTGAGGGAAACTACCAATCCACACAGCAAGGATATTACCTGCATTCTTTCATGAAAGCTTTTTTTTAAGAGAGAGAAATTAATAGAAAGCATTTCATGACCCAATACTGAGAAAACAGAAGTCTGATGACCTGAGAAAATTTTAATCAATGTAATTCACACTGCGTATCTAAAGCTCCCCCTGCAGCTCAACTGAGAACAGACAGAAATACCTCCTCCTTTGAAGCCCAGACTTACTCCAGACAGTCCCATACTCCAGTGGAAATGTGAAAGTGCCTTCATTTGCATCACGAAGAAACAGAAGACAAATGCAAGGCTTATCCCTACCTCACGGCATGTTTTAAAGAGGACATAGCCCATTGCTCCTTGCTCACTGACAAGCTCTTAAAAGACTAATTACACCTTTGTCAGAAACAACCACTGTTCTATCTTTCGCTGCAGCTGACAGCTAGAAAACGATTACCTACACTTTCAAAGATATGCCTTGCTGAATTCATATATCTGGCCTTAGCTCTTCTCTCATCACTTCAACTCACTGGCCTCCTTCTGCACCCAGCTGTAGTGTAGTTCTCTATAGGAAATTTGTTTGCAGCTGAATCTAACTTGCAGAAAGAAAGGTAACTATTTACCTTCATGGTTAACAGCTCACTCATCAGCCTTCTACTTGAGAACAGCACTAGTCTGCTCAAGACCTCAGCTTGTCTTTCTCATCATCTTACAGAAGCCCAGATACCTGATTAAGACCACCATGGCTCAAAATGAGAACTCAACATTTAGCCTCTCACTTCAGTTAGTACAGCTTGTTGTTACAGCTTCTCATTTAGACCCACAGTCCAGGCAGCTCTCCAGATATTCATATCCAGTTCCTTTCTCTAGCTTGCCAATTCCTATGTGAGATTTAAAACAGATGGCATTCTTCCTCTAAGGATATATTCTACAGCTCTCAGCATCCCACTTCAGATCCTATAACATCTCTTCCTTCACTCTGACAAATGAAAGCTTGTCCTACTCAACCATTCAAGTGTGATTGTTGCAAATGTTATCATTCCATTTTTTTCTTCCCTACTACAAAAAACAGACCACTTGTCCTCCCTCTAAGGCTCTTCATGTTGTTCTGTAATATCTGTTCTCTCTCTCAGACCTGCCAGTAGGATTATTTTGTGTTTTATTTGACTGCTACCAGCACCACCTTAAGTATTACCTACCAACTCGTTTTAAAGTTACATACATATATGTTTTCTACAAAACTGCTCCTCTCACACAGACGTTTCCTATGTACAAGTACAAAATACTTAATTTCTTTCCTTTTAATCTTTCCCAGACCAGCCACTCTTTTGCCCGTCTCTAAACAAAACTCTGCTATTACTCCAAAATAAAATAATCCTGAAGACTCTTACAAGGGTCTACATTTGGCTCCTGCAAGTTGCTATTGAATAAAAAGCTGCAAAGCAATGTACATACCGGCAAATCAGATTCTTCTTTTGGAACAGCTCTCTTTAACTTCACAACAGTAGTTCCTGCTACTGGAGACAAGGGGTACACCTTCAGACTAGCCAACATACTGCTGTTAGTCTTTGAAATATTGTTCTGCTTAGTCTCATTATTCCTCATTCCCAGCTTAGCGTCCTCTGATAAACTGGAGGCTGAAATGTACGTTGCGGCATTCGGAGGAACAGATAATCTTCTAACAGTGTTGGTGGTGCTTCCAGCTGGAGGAGGTTTTAGGCGATCAGCAGCTCCATTTTCTGTCTTTTTCACTTTTATGCTCGTACTTGTTGAACTGCCGTCAAATACAATTAATGGCCGTTTCCTTAAACCTTCTGCCATTGTAACACTGAAAATGCAAATTGTAAAGTTCTCAGAAACACAAGCTACATGATCCAAAAACAGTATACTCAAGACACAGCTAGTGAAATATGAATTTAATCTTGCCTAAAGTAAAAATATCCCAAAATGCTAACCTTAAACTCTTAGCTACTTTAAACTTAGGCAACGGAAATTGCTTTCAAAATATAAAGGGGGAAGGGAGGGAAGCAGCGGATTGTGTGAGGAAGTGTTCCTTAGCAAAGAGGGCTCTGTAGGAACTTTCTAGGGAGGCAATTATAGTTGTATGACCAAAGACTATGCTTATCCAACTGTAGCTATTTGAGAATAACTAAAGAGACAATAGCTGTTAAGTATTTTAAAAGGTATTTGAGAAAGTATAGGCCACCTTACCTACAAGAACGGCTCACAGAGCAAGAGAAAATTCAGCTCTTATTCAAATTTGCTTCTACATTACTATCTGTTCACAACATTATATGTCACATAATCCTCCTCTTTTTCTATTCATCCACTTCTGGGAACTGATAGAGACAAAGACAGACCTTCAATTCATTTGGAATTTGTTTGTCGAAAGATCAGACACAACTTTTTGGCTTATATTTACAGTAAATGCAGTTTCAAAAGGCTGCTGGGGAAATGTGCCCTTGTCAGGACCAGGAGTGTTCAGCCAGGCAAGCTGCGTTGATTAAGTATTACCGAAACAGCCCTATTTAACAGATACGATGCATATTTTCACTTGAAAAGTCTAAAAAGTGACACACACTTCAAAAGTAAAACATGATACATTTTGCTCATTTGGGTTTGTCTAAGAATTTACTCAACACTCCTGACAAGGACACCATTTCCCCAGCAGCCTTTTGGAACTAGCTTTTCATGTGAAAGAAGAGATTTAATGCATTTTTTCAGTTATCCTCCTTAACAAAAGTCTAATAAAAGTCTGCTTTTCCTATGGAGGTTTTTTGTGATTTTGTTTCTGTTTGTTGGTGATGGTGCATTTTTTTGTTTGGTTTTTAATTCAGCATGGTGAAGACTGGCAAGCCAGGAACTAACTGCAGTTCTGGGAGGATCATTATCTATTCCGAACTGAATTTTAGAATTGTAGCACTTGTATAAATGACCACATGCTACAATACAGATAATATTCCCAGAGAAATACTTCGGGAAAGTTCCAAAAGAACTCTGGACGCTGTACCATCAAAAACTGTCACATCTCATTTTTAGCTACATGGTTCACAGAACATAGAACCTTGGTTGTGACATTCCCTTTCTCTATATAAAGTACAGGCAGCTTAAAAGCTTCAGAGCAGGACTCATGTTAGCCAGCACTTGTCTGAGAGAGGACACTGCTGCTGGCCAACAGCTGAAAAGAACATTCTGGGATCCTATTTCCTGTGGCAGGACACTCCCTGTGAAACCTAGATTTCAACACACATCTTCTACATCCAAGAGAAATGTTGTAGCCACACTTTGAGCTGGCCTGGACATAGAACACACTCTGAGATTCAGACCATCCTCTTTCTTCCAGCAGAGAAGATGATATTACAGATTTTCCAAATTAACTGTCCCTGAACATGAATACTCTGTGAAATGTTTGAAGTTGGAGAGACTGCATTTGGTTTTATTTGGTATGATTGTCTGCAAGCTCTAATATTCAGTAATAAGATGTATAAACCACCATCTGTGACCTCAGATAGTATTATTGAGGTATATAACTGAAGCTCAGCTGATATACAGCAAATCTTTTAGGATGTGCCATCAATTACCAGCAGTAAAATTAAACAATATGCAACACTGACTTTCAATTTTCAATCTGTTTTTACCTCTTATCTGCGACTCCTAGAAGCATGCAAACACACACTGAACTGTGCTGATCAAGCCACCATGCCTCATATTAATTTCAGTGCATGTTATAAAGCTGTGGTTTCCACAGAGGAACTCATCAGAAAGCTTCCACTGTTCATGCAATCAGTTTACCTTACTTCTAAATTGAATTAACAGCACGCTTAGCTCCTACCTCTGAATTGTACATAACTTAGAGCATCAGAATACCTAGGAATTTTATTTTCCTTTTAAAAACATGAATGTCAAGTTCTACTTCCTCCTCTGCACAAACGGCAGTTCTGCTTAAATAGTACACATAACTGTGAGGAAAACTAATACTTTAATATCCAAAAAGATGATTGAACTTAATTCTTTGTCAATATACTAAAACTGAAGTTTTCTTAGTGCAACTTTTACTTGCTGAAAGTCTATTTCTCCCATTTCTCTCAAGTTAGTAGTATTAGCAATAAAATCTTAACTTTTCTAGACAGTATTTTGCCAACATGTTAAGTATAAAAGATACAACCATAGCAGGAATATTGACTGCTGGAAAATCTCAAAACTACCTAACAACAGAGCAAAAGACTAAGCCTAGTATGCTAGATATTAAGTGCTAAGAGCAAGTGGTACAGAAAAGCAGACTGGTAGATTAAACATACCTCCTTTTACTTACTACTTTCCCAGAAAATGCTGCATAGGTAACCATTAGTGAATTTTACTGCACTAAAATAAGAGCCCCTAAACTTATTTTACATATAAACGCTGGATGAAGCCATTCTCTCACCTGAACATTAACATTGCTTCATCCTCTCAAAAGCATCCAGCCTACTATCTTCCTTTTGTGATAAAAAAATTTCTTTTGCACCTATTTCGGCACACCAACAGCTCTTTTCATTATTCAAACACTAACCTTGTGCTTTTATCCTCAAGGTGCAAGTTGTAAACAAACTGAGGTACTATAAACATTCATGCACGTGAAAAAGAAAAAAAAACCAAAACAAAACAGCATAACAAGACAACTCAGTGCACTAGTCACTGCTAACATTAAAAAAAAAAAACAAAAAACCAACAACAACAACAAGCAAATCAACCACTTGACAGAATTTGCTTAGCTCTTCACAGTTAGAAACCTCAGTAAAGCTAAGACACACCCATGAAATCAACAAGCTGTAATACTGCAAAACTACGAGAATTTCTATCCACCTTTACTTCGGATGTACTACTGAAGCTAAACCAGAACTCCACCCATGTGCATCACACATCAAAGTCCTGGGCTGGGGGAAGACTGGGAAGAGACGTTTTAGTAAAATAAACTTCTAAGGAAGATTTTGCTTTCTGATTAAATACAAACACAAAGATTTAAAAAATAAAGCAGAATGTTCTTCAGAAGGCAGATGTTAGTTTTGAATTGGACACAAAACTGCTGCAGCATACAGCCCAGACTCTAGACCATCCCTGTCCAAGGAAAAAGCATAATTAAACATGATTTTGGCCCTTTACTTAAGCACTGTAAAAATATTATTATTTAACAATTATATAGTGAAACAACAAAATAACTTCTTTTTTTCTTCATTATAAAATACCTTGAAATGTACCAATAACCCTGTATCAATACAAGCTGGGGGATGAAGGGATTTGAGAGCAGGGCTGTGGAGAAGGACCTGGGGCTGATGGGTGATGAAAAGCCCAACATGACCCAGCAATGTCCGCTCCCTGCCCAGAAACCAACCACATGCTGGGCTGCATCAAAAGGAGTGTAACCAGCAGGTCAAGGGAGGAGATTCTATCCCTCAATTCCATTCTTTTGAGATTCCCCCTGGAGTTGTGTGTCCAGCTCTGGGGCCCCCAACACAAGAGGAACGTGGACCTATTGGAGTGAGTCCAGAAGGAGGGTTGATCAGGGTCTTGGAGCACCTCTGCTATGAAGACAGGCTGAGAGAGCTGGGCTTGTTCAGCCTCAAGAAGTGCAGGCTCTGGGAAGACCTCACAGCTTTTTCAGTACTTAAAGGGGGCTTATAAGAAACATGGGGACAGACTTTTTAGTGGGGCCTGCTGCAACAGGACAAAGGGTAAAGATTTTAAATGAAAACGTAGATTCAAACTGGATATAAGGAAGAAATGTTTTACAATGAGGGTGCTGAAACACTGGAACAGGTTGCCCAGAGAGGTGGTAGATGCCCCATACCTGGAAGTGTTTACAGTCAGGCTAGACAGGGCTCTGAGCAACCTGATCTAGTTGAAGATGTCCCTGTTCATGGCAGAGGGGTTGGACTAGATGAACTTTAAAGGTCCCTTCCAACCCAAACTAGTCTATGATTATATGAAAAGCACTATAATCCAGCTACCATTAATAACATTTAGATGACAAAAAGGATCACCTTCCCTTTTTTCCTGTTAGGGTAGTAGTAGAATCTAACAGTTCTGACCCAGAAGACCTGAGACAGCAATCTCTACAAACTGTAACAACGTCCAAAAGCTGTACAAGTTTCATTAATCAGGCAAACAAAGATTAGACCAATTGCGTTGCCCTAAATTCTGCAAGTGTAGCCCAATAAAAGCTAAATTACCTTTTATTCTCACTTTTAAACTCATTTTGCTGTCTTTTCTTCTCCATCATTTTTCCCCATCTACTTTTTGGCAAGTCACGCTGAGGCAGAGGAATGGCATGTTGAATATAGAGATCAGTGAGACCATCTTTATCCATCTTTACATCATTTTCAACTAGTATATTTTTCTGTGGGGAACAACAACAACAACAAAGTTGTCATTATTATGACAAATTCAAAGCACAAACATCTTAGTGGCATCATTTCTGTTTTGAAAAGCCACTTTAGTGTACCAGGTACAAATGCCAGGGTTTCAGAAGTGACAGGACTACAGAGGTGACCAGTGTGGAGAGGCCATGAAAAGCCCTGTGCCAATAACAGCCTGATCTGCTGCCTTCCTTCCTACTGTCAGCTTCGTTTTCCATGTGGATTACACTCGGTCCTTCCTTCATTGAGTCAATGGGAAATGAAAGATATTTGGGTCAGTACATAGTGGTTTCTTTTTCCACCACCTGCAAGCACATCTCTTCACATATTTCCCCACGTGCCTCTCCCTGCATGTCCTTTTGTGTCTCCTGCCTCTGGTAGCTGCAGCTCTTTTTTAAGTGCATTTGAGCACAGCTGCCATGACCAACTTGTCTTGAAATTTTAATGTGTGATGGGCTGTTTCTCTCAGTGTCAGAGACAGCTAGATCCACCTACAATCAGTACTGGGCAGTACACTGCCTTTGCCCACACAAGTGAACTCTCCAGCCCCTTCCTAACCAAAACCCTGCAGTATTTCCAATAAAAATAGGAGGGGGAAAAAATAAAAAGGGGGGGGGGGGGAGTTACGTTGGACATCCTGTTGATGACTGATGTTTTCACACACTCTTTAGCACACTTCCCTGAATCCAATTTCCCTAAATCCAACTACAGTACTGCTCTTCAGTCTTCTAAAAACCAAACTAGTAAAACATACTGCATTTCAAAAAACGCATTAAAAGTGTAGAGATGCTTCCTCCCCTAGATCCCAAAGAAGGGGGATTTCTAGCAACTGTCAGGCACAACAGAGAACCAATTTTCTTTCTAACCATGTATAGGGTTGTGAAAACAAAATTTCTTGCTACCTCCTTTCAAATTTATTAAAAGAGGAAAAATCCCAGTAAATTTCTACAAACTAGAGGTCACTGAAAGCAGGTGATGTCTGCCACTATTGGTTTTGACACCACTTTGTGACTTCTGATGTCAACCTAAAACCTGTACATTTTTGTGTATATAAATTACATGACAAAAATTCAGCGAGCTCGTGCAAAAAATTAAGACTTTGATTGCTACTGTTTCATGCACCTAAACTTTTCAGGCAAGGACCTAACAACTACTCCAAATCACATCAACTGAAGCTTCATATGGTTCAAAACTCTTTATAACTCACTTCCAAACTCAGTTTTTTTTTCAGTTATGCATACTTAAGCAGTAGCTTGACTGACTTTGTAAGACACATTTCCTTAATTCACTGGGTATGAACGTGGCAATTATAACAACGATCACCCTTCCACAGAAAATTTTACTGTATGCAAACACTGTCTCACATTCAGAGATTAGAGAAAGTTGTTCTTTATCAGCTGCAATGTTCAAACACAGCCCCGGAGACACCTCACACCACGGGCCTCCCCTAATCGAGTACCCAGACTACACAACCAACTTGTGTAATACCAACTTAGATTTTGCTTGTTTATTCCCTGAACTCTTCTTGCGCGCCTATTTGTGAAGGAAAGAGGAGAAACACACAGAGCAGGTGTGACGCGGCGGAACGGGGGTCAGGACAACAAGCATGACCGCAAGGCAGCGAGGCCTCCCCTCCCCGCCTCAGGACCCGCTGCTAAGGGCCTGACTTCCTCCCCGACGGCGCCCTGGCGCACCTGCTCCAGCGTGAGCAGCAGGAACTCCTCCGAGAGCAGCTCCGGGTGCAGCAGCAGCTCCGACTCCGGACGCCCCGACTCCCGCTCCACCTTTCCGTCAATGCCATCGCGGCCTCCACCTCCGACCCTGCCCCTTCCCCGCGCAGCCATCTTCTTCCCCCGCGACCCCTTTCCGGCTTCCCACAATGCCGCGCGGGGCGGGGGCTGGCGCAGGAAGTGGCGCGGCGGGGTTACGTCAGGATTGGCCGCTGGGTTAAACGTGTCCGTGACAGCGGCAGCGGTGTGATACATTGCTTGCTATGCTGTGTACCTGTCGTTGGTAGCCATGGTTACACAGCTCGGGCCTGGGATGAAGTGACCTTCTCGAAACAACAAGGATCTCATTGGCACAACTACATCCTGGTCGTGTTTGAAGGATCAAAGGAGAACATTCAGGACTGGTAGTACTAAAGGATGAGTTACTTGACAGCTTGGCAAAGTGACCATTCGGTTACCTGACTTGGCAATGAAACCAACTTTTAAGATGTCCTGAAGTGAACTGCTTTCATTATTATACTAAAAATCACACCCCCAGGTCAGAAAGACCCTAGCCCAGGTGAAGGCCTCTCATGTGAGCATGAAGAGTGACTAGAATGAGTGACACAGCAAATGTTACATACAGATTACAACCAACACTGGGAGTGTACCATCTTGTAACTGTTGTGTATAAACGTAACAAGAAAGCCAGCATTGGTGCATTTGATCTGTGGAACAGTCCACCCAGCACCCAGGCGTGAATAAACACAGTATCTCTCCTGAGGCTGTGGAGCTGGTTTACTGCATGCCAGGCACAAACCTGCTTTCAAATACACTTTTTGGACAACAGCAACTAATAACACTTCCTGAGCTGCAATGACTAAAGCTGCTTTGCAGTTCCAAAGTAAAGTAGCTGCCGGCACGTTTGAGTTGGCAACCTGCCTACGTACTGAAAGCGGAAGGGGGAATTAACAAACGATTACATTAGTAAATTAACCACGCTGTCGTTACAATATGAAATTGCAACGTAACTCAAAGTACTTGATGCACTTCACAGCAGTAAGGAGGATGAGCAATTCTGAGTAACGTAACAAAAACATACACACAGAACACATTGCATACATATGACCCTATGTGTAACATCATTGCTATACACAGCACTTCCGAGAATATGAATACAAGTTCTGAATACCTAAAACTCATTTAAGCGTACAAACAGTGTAATAACACGTTATGTCACGTGGTGCCCCTCAGGCTGCGCTCTGGTAGTGTGTACCGCCCGCCTCCTTGCACTCTCCCCCTCCCAAACCACTCACAACCACTGTTACATTCTCATTTCTCTTGGAAGAGCTGCTTTTCCGCCTGTGTCAGGAAGGACCTGCCCTGTGGCCACAACCCGTAGCGCTCCTACAGCGATGGGAAACAACAAACAGCCACCCCTGGCCGTCCCCAGTCCGAACGTTGTGCGCACCACAGGGGCTCCTTCCAGCCGTCCTTTCACGGTGCGGATGCGCCACCCGACTGCAGGGGTTCCCCGTCCAGGGGCGCAGGGCGGGGTTTGTGCGACACCGGAAGCGGCGCTCTCGCCGGCGGATCCCAGCCCGCCGATATCGCGGCTCGGGGCGCCGCCCGCCTGGCCGCTGGCTCTGGACCGCACCGCCTCGAAACGGCGGGCCCGGCTCCCGGTGTTGTGGCGGCGCCTGGCGCTGGCAGGTGCTGCGGGAGGGAGAGCGGGAGGAGCGACTGTCGTCTGCTGGGGTGGAGGCAGGCGTACTGGGGGCCGCGGGACGCCGGGCCTGGCTTGCGCCCCCAGGTCAGGCTGCGGGTGTGTGAGGGGACGGGGTGAAGCGCAGCACGTCCTCCCGGGAATAGCGTGGCCCAGTATCTCGGGTCTGCGGAGCCATGTTCACGGGTTAATTAGCGCTTGCTAACTACACAGCGTGTAGGAGTACGTGTGCGTAAGGGAGCGATGCAGAGGTAAAGAAGGCGGTGTGCTGGTTTGCAGGGCAGCAGCAAACAGAACGTGACTGCAAAGCAAGACTTTACCTAATGCAAGTGGGGGAGAGTTGCTTTCTGCTTTTTATCAGAAAAGAGTGTGCAGGGTTACTGGTGCACTTAAGAAAACAATATCTAGTAGACTAGTAATCTGCTTGGCTGTTGATTAGCTTTTGATAACAAGCAACCCATGATCTTGTTTTCTGGAGCTCAAAAGTAGCATAGTGACTTCCATTTGTAACTGTGGAGTAGGCTTTTGCACTTTCAAAAAACAGCATGTTCTGCAGAACCTGTTTCTTTGCATGTGTGCAGGCCCTGAACTCTTACAAATGACAAAAAAAACAATAAAAAAATCACGTACAGGTTATGTATATTGACGTTGGTGACTTTTAAAAGCCTTTTTCACGGCTTTTTTCTAGCATGAATGTTTTAGTTTCTTTGCTACAGATTTATGTAGTACTATGGGGTTTTTTGTTCTTTCTGCTCATGGATTGCATGTCTATTTTGATTTCTTTTATACTCTTAGTTTTCATCTTTCTTTGTTATGTTTTTGGGAGGTTTTTACTGCATTTTGGTCAAGAGCAGAATTCTGTAGTTCTCCCAATGGCATACATTAACATTTTTACCTTGGGCTACAGGAATGTTAAGTTGTTGACAGCTTTAGGTATGAAAGCTGCCTAACCTCTCTAGTTTATCACTTGAGGCTACACGCAAGGTCTTAGAAATGGTTGGGTTTTTTTTGGCGATCAACTATTGGGCAGCCCTTTTTAACTTAATACACTGTGTTTCTTTTGATAATGGTGGAGGATATCAGGACTGTGTTCCCAGGGACTTGCGTTATCGTTTTACCTGAGGCTATTTCTCTAATACTTCCTAGGTTTGTTTGGTTTTTTTTTCTGTTGAAGGTCAGAACGCTGATATACACCCCAGATGAGGATGTGGTTTGAAAATGTCGTGGAAGACTGAAATAAAGTCTTTTAATTTCTGAAAAATAAAATGTGACGCTTTTGGCATAAAAGATTGCTACTACCTCTTGATAACATGGTTTGCTTCTGGCTGTATTCTTAGCTTGATTTAATCTTATTTAGTAGTTTCTTGTGATTTGTGTACCTTACCTTTTCTCACTCAGTCCTAGAAAATTTTGCCATGGTTTCCAGTGTTCTTTTGCAAAGGCAGAGGGAGTTTTCAGATAATAATTCAGATAATAATTTGAAACTAAATTAATTTTAACTATATTTAGTTTCAGGATGTTCATAACAGCATTTTGTTGATTTTGGTGTCTCTTTTGGTCTGCAGAAATTTTGCTTGATGTTTTATATCTCCATCTTACTTGTGGACTGGAAGTAATTGTGCATGTTATTTCTTAAATCCATTCAAGATATTTAGTATTGTGTTTTCCCCAGGGTTGGATAAGTTGTTGTTTCAGACCAGTCACGACAAATTAGAAGGTGATTAAACAAGGCCAGCAATTTCTCATCTGCTCTTCTTTGGAGTGTTGAGCACAGCTGTCTGCTGATCTCTTATAAAAATAACACAAGTCTGGAGTACAGTAAAATTACACTGGCTGGTTTTAAAACACTATTAATTGCTTCATAAATTGCATCTGTCCCTTGGCAGGGCTTGATTGCAAAAGAGTGGGTATAGTTTGTAGAATGAATATTAGAAGTGCTGCCTAGCACTTAAAAGCAGACTTCTGGAATGGTTGTGATAGTAGAGAACAGAACAACTCTTAATTTCTGTGACATTGAATCCCAAGCTTAATGAATGTTTTATGGACCATGCTTCCAAATTTGTTGTATGAGTGTGCTTTAGAATTGTTGCTTGTAAAGCACATTTACATTTATAAAGTCTGATACAGAGAATATGTAAGTGGCAGACGCTTTGCAGCTATTATAAAAAAAAAAAACAACCACGAGCCAACAAATTCTAATACTATTCTAGTGGCTTGGAAGTTACATATTTCTGATTGCTGAAGAGTAAGGAATGTAAACTGTATGTGCTAAAATGTCTATGATAAATATATCATTTGACTCATATGCTAAGAGACTAGGTCCTAATAGGCCTAAATTGAGGCCTAACATGAGATGTTAACTCATCATGCTGAATACCTTGTGGCTTCTCTAGAAATCTGAGAGCTGAAGCTTGTATATTTTCATGTATAAGTGATAGAAGACTGTGCATGACAGGTTTATAAATCTTTTAAGTACTGCCAGGAAGCACTTGTAGTGCCAGAGTGTCAAAGAGAGACAATAATATACTGGTTACATGTGGAGAAAGCATCACTTCAGAATAGCTGGGTGTTGTTCTGAATCTGTCTCAGGATAGACTCGAAGTGAAACATTACAATTTGATTAATTTCCGTTGTTATTAATGTGCTCATTCTGGCTTGTGTAATCAGGTTGGAAATAGAGTATAGACTATTGAAAATTGCAACAGTGAAGTTTTTGTATTGGTGTTTAAATTGCTGCCTCTGATATTTGATGTGTGTGGAGATAAATAGTGGGTTTTTTTTCTCTTTAATCAGATCACCCAGAAGACACAATGAGTGTTAAAGCTTTCAAGCTCGTTTCTGCTGTCGAGCGGGAGATGTTAATGGGAGACAAAAATTACATCAACATCGAATGCATTGAGTGTTGCGGAAAGAACCTCTACATTGGAACCAATGACTGCTTTATCTATCACTTTCTATTGGATGAAAAGATGTCAACAGCTGGAAAAATAACTTTTGCTGCCACCAAGCAACTACATAAATACCTCGGCTTGAAGAAGCCTGTGAGTGAGTTGAAAGCAGCCTCTGCCCTCACCAGGCTTCTTGTGCTTTGCGACAATACAATAACACTAGTTAACATGATGAACCTGGAACCTGTCCCCACTGGCGCTCGAATCAAAGGAGCTGTGACGTTCACATTAAATGAAAACCCTGTGAGTGGGGATCCTTTCTGTGTCGAAGTCTGCATTATCTCAGTCAAGCGACGGACCATCCAAATGTTCATGGTGTTTGAAGACAGAGTCCAGATAGTGAAGGAAGTGTTTACTCCAGAGCAACCCTGTGCTGTGGCTGTAGATGGTTATTACTTGTGTCTTGCGCTTACTACACAGTATATAATTTTGAATTATAATACTGGAGTCTCCCAGGATCTATTTCCTTATTGCAGTGATGAGAAACGGCCAATTGTGAAAAGGATAGGCAGACAAGAGTTTCTGTTGGCTGGCCCCGGAGGCCTAGGTGAGACTAAGGATTGTCACTTTTTTTCCCAATTTTTTGTCTTTTCTCTCTTAGTTTCTCTCAATTTGCAAAGCAAAGCTTAACTAATTGTGTTGTGCATGATAATGATGATTTTTTTTTTTTTTCCACAGGTCTGTACTGGAACATTAAGATCAGTAGGTAGATAGTAAATCTTGGATACTAAGTATTATTATTACCCCCCTGCTTTTTTAAGGCACAAAAAACTGGTTACTTGTATTTTAATTGTGTCTGTAGAAAGCTTCATTTCTACATAGGTGACTAATAGTAGTAGTATCTTGCAGCCCAATGTAAAAAAAATTGGTTGGTACCAAGTGGTACTTCAGAGCCTGATAGCCTTTCTGCAATGACTGGCTACACTGGGTTTGAGGAGCCCCATGTTGCTATAAAATCATTAAATTAGTGTAGATGAATTAATTTTTTCTTCAGTTGCTGTTCAGAGGAGTTCATAGGAAGTCCATTTAATAGATTGTAACAGTTTCACAAATAGATATGTCATGCTACAGTGCTAGTAGAAATGTCAGTGGAAGTAGACTGTATCCTAACTCCCGTAGACCTAAACTCTGTCCCAACTGTAGATTTTGGCAGATACTACCCAGGTTTTATGCTCCCATCTGCTTAATTTTTTTATAGTACTTGTCAGCTATGTATTACAGAAGGTGATAGTTTAATATTGCAAAATGCAGAATAATGCTCTTCTCTAATAGATAGATGATAGACTACTGCTGCTGTGATCTGTCTAAATAAACAATATGCTGTGAGCTCAGTAATCTTGAGCTTCTTTTGGGAAAAGCTGTAATACCCCAGAGCTGACAGACCACAGGCAGAATGCTTTCATGCTGTTTGCCATGACTCTCCAGGTAGGAGATGCAGTTTATGTATCTGCTCTGATACATTAGGAATAGTATGTGGCACAAAGATCACAACTATTTAAGCCCTTAATTCGGGGATCTGCATGGGTTTAGGCTTTTTGATATAAATTCTAAAGAAAAGTAAGAGTGTAATATAAATAAGTGGTTGGAGTTTTGTCTTGTGACTAGAATATGAGATGTACATCAACTCACCAGTGTGTTTTTCTCTGAAGAATCGGAGACTTATTAGAACATCAGTTTATGCAAATTAAAGATATTCCAAGATTAACTTGAGGATTTTTTTCAGTTGTGGGGCTTTTCTAAGTGATCTTGACTGCCCTCCTCATATTAAAACTGTTAGTTGCTTTAAATGTGGACATATATTTGTGGAAATTAACTA